ATCGACGCGATAACCTTACAACATGGTGGCCGGTAACTAGCCTTGGGCGTTAGATCGTCGTTTTGGACGAGGGAAAGCCGTCATTACAAGATGCAAGATTTTTGACTCGAGAACAAGGGAAACTTCACATGTGGAAGTTTTTATCCGGCACTAAATACCAGATTTAATTAACTGAAAAATAAATTCGTGCGAGAATCAAATGTAAACTATAAAGCTTAAACTGGTTAACAGGTAACGGGTGATCAATAAAAATAAATTTTGTTTGAATTTCAGTGATGGCTCAAAATGGAAAACGCGACGCCGGTTAATAACACCAACCTTCCACTTTCAAATTCTGAATAACTTTATTCCGGTATTTGAGGAACAAGCGTCAATTATGGTCACTCTTTTGGAGGTTAGCACCAATTGATAAGTTTAACTTGTCCCTTTCGTATTCTTTATTCCCTCGCATTTATTTCTCGTTGCAAAACAGTTTTGCAGTATGCGGTATTTTCAATTGTGCGGGCTTTTTTCCTTGTTTTTGTTTTTGTTTTATTTTAGTTTCTGCATGTTTGTTTGTTTGTTTATTTTTATTTGTCAGAGCCGAGCTGACGGTGGTCATTTCGACATAATTCGATATATTGTACGCTGTGCTGTGGACATAATATGCAATAAGTTACCTTCTCTTAACAATCAGTCAGAGATGCGAATACCTACATTACGCCGCTGAACCTTCATTTATGAAAGTTTAAATCATCATTTTAACGAAAATCTACAGTTGTGTTGTCCTTATTTTACTTTCATTTTCTGAACTTTTTTTTTTGTTTCAGTTACGTCTATGGACTCCTCACCCAATACACAGCAGTATGCAGAATCTCCATATTTTAATGCAGTCTTTAGGTATGACAAACATCCACAGTATGTTTATGAACGTGTATGGTTGCTGACGTCTTAAGTTCGTTTGTAAAATTTCCCTTTGGATTACGAGAGAGGCGCTTTCTCAAGGTTAGTACGATGGAGTCTGGATCGAGAGGTCCATGTCCGAACCCAGTAGCAGATCTAGGNNNNCCCCCCGTTTAGCTGAAGGTCTGGATCCGCCACTGAAGCCTCAGGCAAAGTTATTGTTCTGCGTTGTGTTGTGTTTTGAATGGGACACTTCACTCCGTCCCACAGGGAAAACTCTAGAACAAGGTCCCTTGTGCTGGACCATGCTTCTAGTCATTTCATGGTATACGCAAAGTAGAAATTAGCGCCGAGTTAATAGTGTGTTCTTCGATCATAATTGTTCCTTCTTTGATTTCCTTTCCCAGAATGAGCGAGTTAGTCCAGCAAAGGCAAACTTGTCCATGGCTCTGGTCAGATGCTATTTATCGATGGACACGATCAGGAAGTGAACACGAGGCATGTCTGAAGATTCTCCATGAGTTTACAGATAAGGTAAATAATAATAAAAAAAATGCATAAAGTGGAAACGGAAACATTTTTAAGGCGCTGAGATTATAGCAAAAAGCCACGCATTTCGGGAATGCTTTCCCTTAATTGGCCATTAAAGAAACACGCGGGATCGAATTCAATTCGAGGCAACGCGAGGTGGAGGTTACTGGCTCACTGAGCTGGTGTGAGATTCCGGTTTGCATAGCAATGAACGTTTGTCGATATTTGGAGTGGTTTGGATCAGGACCAGTGATCCTAGATCACTTGGATGATGGGGTGTCAAAGTAACCGATGGATCCATGATGGAAAAGGAGTCTTCGGTCCCTTTAGATCACTGATCCTTATCTGGATCATCACAAAAGAAAGAACTCATTGCTCTTCTCCCCAAATGAAATGCTAGTCTACGTATGTTATCTCGAAAGTTACCAAAGATCATCAGCAAGATTCTATTTTAGATCATATTTCAAGAAGATAAAATGCTTTAATGAGAGTATACTGTTTTGCCAGAGAACACATTATGAGGGGCTCGAGACCTGGTCGGCTTCCACTAGAAAAGAAGAGAAAACAAAAGAAAACAAAAACATTTGATATGATGATATGGGATTAGAAGAGTCGTGGATGAGTCGGGATCCTGGATCTGAGACCATACACGGCCGTCTTGCGCCGCCCAGCACAACACTCGGCCTAGCTAGGGTGACCACACATATCATGTCATGTCCAAAGAGGATTATTTTTTTAAATGGCCGACGAGAATATTTTCCTTCTCCCTGCGAGGGATTTTACTTAAACTCGATGTGCAGGGTGACACCATGAACCAAAGACCCCTTATCCAGTCTTAAGCTTTCTCAGTGTCAACTTACTCAGTGTCAATGTTTCATTCCTATAAAATGATTACATTTGTAGATGATCATTCTAACTTTTTCGGACAGCATTTATGGAAATTGCTATCGTTGTTGTTACTCTTGTTGTTGTTGTTGTTGTTGTTGTTGTTGGTGGTGGTGGTGGTGGTGGTGGTGGAGGGGGTTGAACAAACTGAAATTTCACATGAATCATTTCAAGGTGATTGATGAGCGTATTGACGAAAGAGAAGTCAAGAAAAGAGATCAAAACAAACAGAGAAACTCGGAGACGACCGAAGAACAAGAAAAAGATGTATTCACAAGAAAAAAGCGCCTAGCATTTCTTGACCTGTTGCTAGAAGCCTATGACAAGGGAGATATTTCACGAACGGGAGTTAGAGAGGAAGTAGATACATTCATGTTTGAGGTGAGATCGATATCATTAATCTGCTATCTGAAGAGGCGTCCACACTACGCCGGAGAAATTTGAAAACGCAGCTTTATTTGCCTGCCGTCCACACTAATCCTTTACGAAAACAGAGCTTTTCGGCAACGCTTTTCAAACCGGAGGAATTTGAAAACGCCGGCTTTTCGGAAAACATTTTGAAAACGGAGCTTTCGAAAATGATGGCGTCACTATAATCATGTGATTTCCCTGACTGCGTTTTCCTCAAACACAGATCTAACTTGACCGGTGATTGTTGCCTTCAGTGTAATGTGGAAGAAAAACATTTGATGCATTTTTATAGTGAAACCTCCGTTTTCAAATTCCTTCCGCATAGCGTGGACAGGGCCTAAAATGCCACTCTCCTACCTGACACCAAAAAGGCAATTTATCAAACCTACTTTTTGCAAACATTCAAAGTATGGTGTAGTGAACAAACTAAATGCACAAAGAAACGCAGATAAAAAAAAAAGAAAGAAAAAAGAAAGAGGTTTTTTTTTTGTTCTTATACTCTTCGTCTGTGTTTACAAATATAATATTACGGGTGACAAATTACTTCCTAATTTTGGAGCGAAATTTCAGCGTTAATTGATAATTTCACATGTGAAATTACAAAATTTCCATTGCAACGTTTAGCGCGAAATTTCTCGATGCAACAAACAAGTCAGAAACCACGATTGTAAGGGTAATTTGTCGCCTATAATATTAAAAGGTATTCAAATGGTATACTCGTGAAATTAGTTCTTAATTTCCCTCGTCACCATTTGATTGCCCATACTTTCAAACTATCGAGTTATTTGTTTATTTTATTTTACTTTTCTATTTCAAGGGCCACGACACCACTGCTGCTGGCATCACGTGGGCTCTGTACCTTCTTGGCCGGCATCCTAAGATGCAACAACGAGTTAATGAAGAAGTAGACACCTTTTTCGGTTAGATTAGTTTTCATCAATAATATTGTGAAATAGGAATCTTTACCTCACCTTAACTGTCAAATGTCCTGTGCTTTTGTGCGTATGTACCGATTTCTAGCATTTTGAGCTTTCAAAAAATGGAAATGTGGTGAAATATATTTGTTCTCGTACGAGCGACGTTGAAATATGGTGGATTTTGATTATATTAGGAGTTAAAAGCACTGTAATTTAATGTAATGCAATGCAATGTAATGTAATTATTATACGCTCTTTGTGGTGGTGCATGTTTGTTTGTTTGGTTAATGTTTTTTTTTTCAAAAACTTGATTTGCTTTATTTAGAACAAAGATCAGAGAAATTGACAGTGGAGGACATGAAAGAATTACGTTACCTGGAGTGTGTTATTAAGGTAGGCCATCGCCTTCAACCCCACGACCATATCGCTACAATTTTGCTCCGGCAGTTCAGTTTTCGAACCACGCAAGGCCCTCCAGAAACTTGCGAGTGCAGTGATTACCTAAATGGTTTAGGAAAAACTACTGAACGAAGGAACGAACAAAATCTACAACTCAAACTAAGAAATAGCGTATTAGATAATTTACAGGTTTTCTACTCAAAATCATTCCAAGTTGATGCGGCAGTTCTAATTTGATAGGTACGACCCAGGTTGAACATTTGGTGTATTGTTCTCTTGTTGTACCTTTTTTCAGGAATCGCAAAGACTCTTCCCATCTGTTCCATTCTTTTCTCGATCAACTACCGAGGACTGCTATCTTGGTAATTTTACAAAGTTCCTATGATCGTGTATTTTCCGTATTTTGATTGATCTTGGAGACTTCCTCATAATTAGTTGAGATTTTGATTTTTGGTCATACTGTAGTTGTAGTTTTTGATTTCTTATGTTTTGCTGGTTCTAGATGGTTATTTTGCTCCAAAAGGCACTGCAGTTGGCGTCTCAACCATCGGACTTCACAGAAACCCAGAAGTGTGGTCAGCACCGCTTGATTTCAACCCTGATCGTTTTCTACCAGAGAACAGTCAAGGACGCCATCCATTCGCGTTTGTTCCTTTCTCGGCAGGACCAAGGAACTGCATAGGTAGTTAGCATTTGTCTGTTGTTGTTATTGTTGTTGTTGTGGTTGTTGTGGTTGTTGTTGTTTTTGTCATTCTTTCTTATTATCGTGTTTCAGATATCGGTAACTGTCTTCTTTGTGACAAATCAAATGGTTAAGTAAACATAATTTCTAAAACTAAAGAGGGGCGATGCTGATTTACCCCCTTTCGTTTTCGGCTCGCTGTTCACCGTTTAAATGAATCGCTGCTGTATGAAAACCTAACATAGGATGGACCACTGCCTGACGCTGCATGCATATGTATATGGCAGCTTTCTGATGATTACTTGTTTAGTATTTTTTTTTCCTTTTCCTAGGCCAGCGTTTTGCCATTCTTGAGGAGAAGACCATTCTAGCTTATATCTTGCGTTTTTTCCACGTTTCGTCGAAGCAGTCTTTTGATGAGATGAAGACGTGCGCGGAATTGATAACTAGGCCTAAAGATGGCATCTTCGTGTCCCTTTGCAGAAGAAAGTAGAAACAAAAACAAATGTGGAAATATACTGGAGTAAAATTATTTGTTATTAATGCAAAAACAAACGGCCTGCTTGGATAAATTTAAGGGTTTTTTTTTCAGTTATTCCCCCCTATTTTTTCTTCTTTTTTTAATTGAGAAAGAAAAAAATATCTTATATCAAGGCGAAGGTGTAATAAGTAAAGAGCAGCAACCAAACCAATTTATTTACAAGAAACTACAACGGACTAGGTATGATTTTCAAGAACATTTAAATGTGACGACTAGCGATAAGAACTTGACGCCATGTCGCTATTATCAAATGCAAATATAACGCGTTTCTTCGTACTAACTTTGGAAATCTTCGTTGTTATGTGCACTTGTATTATACTTTTGGCACTGGTGCCACACTTTTTTAGTGGCGTTACACTGTTTTCACTGGTATTACACTTGTACTGTACTGTTCTTTGCCAATCTGATTGCGATTTTTTGTTTTGTTTTTTTTCAATTAAGTGTATTAAGCAATAAGTTAATAACATAGGGAAGAATTTGAAATTATTCTAATAGCTAATCTAATTGAAACCCCTAGTAGTTAGATTTAAGCAAACTTCTGACAACGCAATAATTGTAAGGCAGGTTCAAATGTTCTTAAGCACCTACTCATAGAGCTTTGAATATAAATGAGCTTCAGGTTTTAAGGGTGTGAAATGTATTATCCTTGGCATTTATCCCATTTATTAAGCTTACGTAAATCAAAGTGAGTTGTCGAAATGCTATTGGCTACAACTCGTCTATGACGTTGTCCTTTTGGTAAGCGAATGTGTCAAGATGTCATTAAACACCATTTTCCTTGATGATGTTTGGATCCACTTGACTTAAAGGAGCTCAGTCAGGGTTTGCACATTTTTCGCCATCCTTGACCATCCTTGCTCCTTTATGGTTCATTATTATCTCTATGACGTTTTTTTATCTTAGTAAACTGTTATTTTCAGGTTTCCTTCCATTTAAAGGAGATTTTGTACGTGGCCAAAAAAAAAAAAAAACGACAAAACACCGTGACTGAGCCCCTTCAAGAAAAGATTCCGCAAAGTATTAGGGCCGTTTCCGCTTAGCCATTGAACTGAGTTCCCCCAAAGCTCCAGTTAAATTTGCATTTGATAGTGGCGACGCAGAGTCGTCCGAACCTGATAACTTCATTGCTTATCATGTCAAAAAAAGAGAGAGAGAGAGAGAGAGA